ACTTGCCAGTAGGTGACTCACCGGTGGGGAGAGGGGCAGTGGTGGGGCACGATAGCAGCCACATTGATTTCAGCCTTGATTTCTGCCTCACATTGCAGTCCCTGGGGCAGTGAGGTAATGGAGGGGCTGTGTCTGGGGCTGCATCTGGAGGAGGGGGCCGTCACCTAATAGTCCCTCTGGCGGCCCCTCCAGGCTCGCTGCCAAGTGTCTGACCCTTCAAGTCTGGAGGTCAGAGGGCCGCAGACCTCCCCTTCCCCTCTGAGCTCCGGTTACTGGCTTTCTACCCACATCTCTGCCTTCACTTCACCCTGTGAAGGGGGCAGTCTGGAGATGGTCCTGTCACCGCCTCACCTGGGTGGGAGCACAGCCTGGGGGCCTCCTGAACCTATGTCACTTCTGCCACCTCACCCAGTAGGACCCCAAGTCTCTGCCTCTACTGAGTGTGCCTCTTGTCCCCCCTTTCTCCTTGGGTGATTCACAGCCTCGCATCTCTGCAAGGCAGACCCCAGATGCCAGCCATGTCTCTATTTTGCCAGCAGATTTGAGTTTACCTATTGTTTCTCTGTGTCACTGACCATCGCCTCTCAGTCTCCGCCCAGGTCCACTCAGAGGTGAACATATTTTTTTTTCTCTTTGGGGGTACACCCTGAAGTACTCAGGGATCACTCATGGCCGCACTTAGGAGACCAAATATGGTGCTGGGGATCGAACTGGGATTGACCTCATGCATGGCAAGTATCTTATCTCCTGTAATATCTCTGTGGCTCCAGAGTGAAATTTTTTGTTTTGTTTTTGGATCACACCCGGAGATGCCCAGGGGTTACTCCTGGCTTTGCACTCAGGAATTACTGGCAGTACTTGGTAGACCCTATGGGATGCCAGAGATCAAATCTGGGTCAGCTTCGTGTAAGACAAGTGCCCCACCTTATTGTATTATCATTCCGGCCCCTCTAGAGTGAGATTTTGAAGAGTGGGATACGTTCCAACATTGGAGCATTGGGCTTTGCCATTCATGATCTTGCACAATTAAATTTCTCTGGGCCTCATTTTTTCTCCTGAGACATGGCCATAAAAAAGTGTAACCTTGGGACCAGAGAGATAATACACTAGGTAGGCACTTGGGCTGACCTAATCATCCCTTATGGTTCATTCCAGGCACCACATATGGTCCCCCAAGCATTGCCAGGAGTGATCCCCAAGCACTGCCAGGAGTGCCTCTACCCCCACCCCTGAAATCACAGCATACCTTTCTAGTGACCCCCAAATCAAAGCATACCTTTCTAGTGACCCCAAAATCAAAGCATACCTTTCTAGTGACCCCCAAATCAAAGCATACCTTTCTAGTGACTGGGAAGGCCCTATGAGCAGGGTAATGCATGCAAGCACGGACACCAAGCAGTTCCTGTATTAATTTCTTCTTCTTAGAGTAATGGGACTGTAAGACCAGGGTGACAACCAAGTGTGTCAGGCAGGTGCTGAATGAGGTCAAGTGGCCCTGGTATTCCTTACATCTTTTTACTTTTTTGTTTGGAGGCTGCATGCGGCATTTTCAGGGACGGTTACTGACTTGGTACTGGGGTGGGGGTGTTGCTTCTGGTAGTACTTGGAGGCCCATTGCAGTGCTGGGGTTCAAACCCAGGCCTCCCAGCATGCCCCTTCGAGCTATCTCCCTGGTGTCTTCCTTATGTCTGAACGGCCAGGGTATTGAAATAGTTAATAGGCTCCTGAGAGAATCTGTGTGGTGTGTGTGGGGAGGGGGAGGGCAGGGTGTCAGTATAGTGGCCACTACCCAAGCTAGCCTGTGTGAGGCCCAGGGGTGGCAGGAAGGCCAGATGTGTAAAGAACCAAGTGCGCTCGTGTGGGAGGGATGTGTGTAGGGGTGCCACAGATGCGCAGTGGCTGTCATGAGCCGTAGGAGATAATTGTTTGATATATTTTGTTAGTATGGTGGTTCTTATGGGCTGGAGGATCTGTGAGGATGGGCGTTGGGGAAGCATGTATGACAGAGCATGTACAAGAGGTGGAGGGTGGGTGTGAGTAATGGACTGACCTGTGGGAGGCAGCACCTACGTGAGCAGGTGCTCAAGGTGAGATGAGGGGTGTGGAAGAGCTAATGGGTGTGGCAGGGAAGTCTGGGAGGGTTTGTAGGGCGCGCGTGCTTGTGTGTGTGTGTGTGTGTGCGCGCGCGCGCGCGTTTGTGTGTATGTGTGTCTGCAGTTGGTGAGGCTGGCCAAACCCTCCACGTCTGCCTTGGCGCTAAGGAGGAGGGTCGAGCCTCGCGTGAGCATGTTCGTCGCGCCGACTGGACCCACGGTATAGCACAACCAACCAGGCAGGGGCCTCCGCAGCGGCGCCCCGAACCGCCCCCCTGGCGCGCTGCCTTTGCTGCAGTGCGCCCTCCCTGCCACCCTCCCACTGCGGTCCCGCCCCCGTCCGGCCGGGGGCCAACCGGAGCCCGCCCCGCCCCGCCCTGATTTGCATATGACTGACGTTCCCCCGGGGCGGCCAATGGGGGCGGGCGCGGCGGGGCCTGACCCGCGCGCGGCGGCCGCAGCCAATGGACTGGCGCGCGGGGGGCCGGGCTTGCGCGGAAGGCCGCGGGGGAAGCGGGGAAGGGGCGGGGGGAGGCGCGGCGGGGGGAGGGGAGCGCGTAGTAGTGGCGGGGCGGGGACGCGGCGGTGGTTCGGCGCGGGGCTCGCTCGGAGCGCACGGACGCACGCACGCTGGTCCGCCTGCCCACCCGGGGCCCGAGGTCGACCCGGAGCCGAGCCGCGCGGGCCCGGGGCCCGGAAAGGCGGGGCAGCGGCGCCGGCAGCCGGGGTGCGCGGGGCCAGAGCCGTTACCCGCCGGAGCCGCTGCGAGGGAGGGAGCGAGCGAGCCCGCGAGCGGGGCCGGGAGGGAGGGGGCCGCCCCCGCGCACGCGCGCCGCGCCCCGCCCGCCGGGCCGCGCGCGGGAGGAGGGAGAAGGAGGGGGCGGCGCCGATGGCCCCCGCGCCGCGCGCCCCGTGACGGCCCCCGCGCGCGCCGGGGGGCGGGGCGGGGCCGGCGCGCTCTGACCTCCCCCGCCCCCCGGGCGGCGGGAGGCGGGCGGCGCTGTGCGCAGGCGCGCCCGGCCGAGACCCCCGCGTGGGGCAGCCGGAGGGGGCGGCGGCGGGGGGGGGGCATGCGGCGGCGGCCTCCAGCTCCCCCCGGGCCCGAGCGGCGGCGGCCGAGGAGCCGGCGGCGGGAGGAGCAGCGGGCGCTGAGGAGGCGCGAGCCCCGGCCGAGCACCCCCGCGCCGGACCATGTACTCAGCCCACAGGCCCCTGGTTCCCGCGTCCGGCGCGGCCTCCCGTGGCCTCGGCATGTTCGGTCAGTAGCGCCTGGGCCCCGGGGCTGCAGGGGTCACGGTGTCGGGGGTGCCGAGAACGGAGTAGCCGTGCCGTGAGGGCGGGGGGCGTCTAGTAAGCCGCACAGAGGCAGAGTGCAGGGGTGACGGGGAAAGTTGCTGAGCTGCGCCCGGCCGGCCGAGCGCCTAGCGGCAGGTGGGAGTGCGGGAGTGACGCGAGTGGGGAGCACCTGGGGACAGCCGCGGGGCCTGGGTGATGGGCTGGGACTGGTCCGATGGCATCCAGCTGCGGAGTGCCCGCAACTGGCCCGGGGACACGGAGTGGGATGGGAGCAGTCCGACCCGTGGGTGCAGCGACAGCGCAGTCCCTACGTGCTGGAGAGTGATGAGCGGAACATCGGGGAGACCCGCGCGAGGGGAGTGCACCGGGGAGGAGCTCAGGAGGGGCAGAACCGAAGGGCTGTTCTCCATTGTTTGCCGGCCCCCTTTCCCCGGCCGCCCCCAGGGGGCCGCCCTGGTGAGGAGGACCTTAGTGGAGAGAGGGACTTTGGGGGGTTCCCCGGGGCTGCTGCGGGGTGGAGCGCCCCCCTTACTCTCTCCCTCCACTTGACAGCTACTTTTCTTCTTTCAGTCATTCCCCCCCATCACCCCAGTCAGGCCTCCAGGCTGGTGCTTCCCAGAGATATTCCTCCACCCCGCCCCCTGGGCGGGGGTGGGGGTGTTACCCCTTGTCAGATGGGTCTGGGTCAGGCCTCCTAGAAGGATGGCGACCAGCGTTGGGCGGTTCCCTCCTGCCTCCTCGTCTTCCCCGTCAAGGGCTTCCACTTCCCCCAGGGAGCTAGCAGACTGGGCAGCCTACTCGGGGCCCTGGAGGACCCTGGCCAGGGCAGTGCCACCCCTTGCAGCTCCTCAGGGAAACACCTGGCACGAATGCCCTTGTGGATGCTCACCGTGACTGGCTGTCCCATTGTCTGTGCCTTTTCCAAGGAGTTCCCCACCGCCCATGCTCTCTTTGGGCAGGAGGCTGGACTCAGGATTGACAAGCTGGGGTGGGTGGCAGTAGGGAGGCCCCTTAAGGGGCGCTAGGTTCTCCTTGCAGGGAATGGGGAGACATGTGGGGCTTTCTGTGCCAGGGGCCCAGGAGTGCAAATGTGGCTCCCTGGGGCCCATGGGAAGGAACAGTGAGCCCCATGACCTGAGACGCCCCTGCTCCCCTACCTGGGGAGTTTGGGGGGGGCTAGGCATCTGCCTCAGGAAAGTGGGAGTGTGAGACCCAGATGAGGGGCTGTGAGAGATGGCAGCTGGGAAGGTGACGTGGGGGGCAGGGGGTGTCTCCAGCCCTGCGGAGGTTGTGGGGCCTTGGGAGAACAGGATGACAACAGGACATGGCCTGGTTTGTGACAGGAGCCAGTCAGCTCCCTGGCCTGCTCCCTGGTGGCAGGCAGGGGGGAGGGAGCGGGCCGTGAGTGTCGCGTCTTCCTCTCGCAAACCTAGAAACCTTCCCAGGGAGCTGGGATTCTGTGGAGCCTGGTCTGTGGACGGGTCCAGAGGCCTTGGGATGGGGGAGGGGTGAATGGCAGGGTGGAGGGACTTCAGCTGGGGTGAAAAAGAGCTGGCATTTGGGGTGCAGGCCAAGTCCTTGTCGCACGACTCAGCTGGCTCTTTCCTACAGTGTGGACGAACGTGGAGCCTCGCTCTGTGGCCGTGTTCCCCTGGCACTCCCTCGTCCCCTTCCTGGCCCCCAGCCAGCCCGACCCCTCTGTGCAGCCAAGTGAGGCCCAGCAACCTGCCAGCCACCCCGTGGCCTCCAACCAGAGCAAAGGTGAGGGGTGGGGACACTGAGGAGAACCTGGGGATGGGCTCTGGGGTCCCCAGAACCCTCTGACATGCCTCTCTGCCCCCAGAACCTGCTGAGTCTGCAGCCGTTGCCCATGAGCAGCCTCCAGGTGGGCCCGGCAATGCTGATCCCGGGCGGCCTCCCGGAGCAACCTGCCCTGAGAGCCCAGGGCCCCCGCACACTTTGGGAGGGGTGGACCCTGGAAAGGGCCCTCCTCCTACCACAGAAGAAGAGACCCCTGGGCCCCCGGGAGAGTCGCGGCTGGACAGTGAGACAGAAAGTGACCATGATGATGCGTGAGTGCCCTGAGGCTTGGGCTGGGGGGCGGTGGGTGTGGGGCCTGGGGGCCTGAGACTGGGCCCCCACTGTCCCTGCCTCTCCTGCAGTTTCCTCTCCATCATGTCTCCGGAGATCCAGCTGCCTCTGCCTCCGGGGAAGCGGCGGACCCAGTCCCTCAGTGCCCTGCCCAAGGAAAGGGACTCCTCCTCCGAGAAGGATGGACGCAGCCCCAACAAGGTGCCTGTCTCCCCCGGCTGCTGCTTCCCCAGCTCACCCTGTGGCCTTTCTCACCCATCCCCTCTGCCCTAACCATGCCTTGGGGGCCTGTGTTGCAGCGCGAGAAGGATCACATCCGGAGGCCCATGAATGCCTTCATGATCTTCAGCAAGCGGCACCGGGCCCTGGTGCACCAGCGTCACCCCAACCAGGACAACCGGACCGTCAGCAAGATCCTGGGCGAGTGGTGGTATGCCCTGGGGCCCAAGGAGAAGCAGAAGTACCATGACCTGGCCTTTCAGGTAGGGCCCACCACCCCCTGTCCTCCTGCGGCAGAGGGCTGGGCAGGTGTCTGAGCAGTGCCCGCCTGCCTCACCCACAGGTCAAGGAAGCCCACTTTAAGGCCCACCCAGACTGGAAGTGGTGCAATAAGGACCGCAAGAAGTCCAGCTCCGAGGCCAAGCCCCCGAGCCTGGGGCTGGCAGGAGGGCACAAGGAGGCACGGGAGCGGAGCATGTCGGAGACGGGCACTGCTGCTGCCCCTGGAAGTGAGTCGGCCCCTCTCTTTCCTGCACATTCACACCAGGGAAAGGCCCCTCTGCCCCGCGATTTTGGTTTTCAGACCTTTTCCCAGAAAGGCACCAGCAGGCCCTGGTATAGCTTCCCAGCGACACCCTTGTCCTCAGCTGCGGGCGCAGTCTGGAGCGCTCAGAGCCTCCTCCCTCTTGCAGATGAGGACACAGCACTAAGGCAGGGGCCACTGGGGGCTGCAGGCACTGGAGACAAGTGAGGGGCAAAACCAGAACCATGATCCTCAGGTGGGCCGGTGTTCTGGCCTGGGGGGTGTCTGGCACCATTCCGAGGGACTCATGGGCGTCCTTCGGCCCCTAAACTCTGGGGTCAGTCAGGCTGTTTCTTCTCTCAGATGCTCAGACAGGCTAGTGGTCATGGACTACAGGCCTGATCCCAGTCTCCCTCCAGGTTTTCTTACTGTTGCCAGGGCTTGCCTCTTACCTGGAGCACAAGCACTATGGGAAGGGGCTGTGGACTGCCCGCTGGGCCTGGTGACTGATAAGTGGCCCAGGCATCCCACCAGCACAGAGAGCTCCAGGAGGGTCCATGTGTTTGGGTGCTAGTAAGTGGCTTCCGGACACCAGCGTGCCCCATTCTGCCCTGCAGTGTCCTCTGAGCTCCTGTCCGTCGCCGCCCAGACGCTCTTGAGCTCAGACACCAAGGCCCCGGGGAGCGGCTCCTGCGGGACTGACCGTCTGCACACAGTTGGGGGGCCTGGCTCAGCCCGGCCACGGGCCTTCTCCCACAGTGGGGTGCACAGCCTGGACGGTGGGGAAGTAGACAGCCAAGCACTCCAGGAGCTGACTCAGGTCTGGGGGTTGTGGGCCACGGGTCTGTGGGGGTGTGCCGGGAGGGCTGTGTCCAGGGACAGCCCCGCTGAATTCACGCTGCACCTGCCTTGCAGATGGTGTCCGGCCCTGCGTCCTACTCCGGCCCAAAGCCTTCTGCCCAGTATGGGGCGTCAGGCCCCTTCGCCGCTCCTGGTGAGGGAGGGGCCCTGGCAGCCAGTGGGCGACCCCCGCTGCTACCCACCCGAGCTTCTCGTTCGCAGCGTGTGGCCAGTGAAGATATGACCAGCGATGAGGAACGGATGGTCATCTGTGAGGAGGAAGGGGATGACGATGTAATTGGTGAGCAGACCTTCTCCCTGGGGACCGCAGGCTGAGGGTCGAGGGTGGATCCAGACCTGAGCGTTGCAAGTAAATGCACTGGTTATGTAGCAGCCCAGCAGGATGAGGGCTGGCTGCAGCTTTAGGCACAGAAGTTAAGGCTCTTGACTTCCCCCTGGGCAGGGGCCACATTTGGGGCTGAGGATCAACCTTTTGGTCAGCCGAATAGTGCACAGCCAGGGCCTGTGTGTCCAGGGAGCCTAGCTCCGCGCCCTTGGTTGATGCTCTCTGCTTCTCTCTCAGCTGACGATGGCTTCAGTGCCACCGACATTGACCTCAAGTGCAAGGAGCGGGTGACTGACAGTGAGAGTGGAGACAGCTCTGGGGAGGACCCAGAGGGCAACAAGGTGGGTGTGGGCTCAGGACTCAGCCCATAGGATATGCTGGGCGGGGGGGGGGGGGGGTTGCTCCCCACCATCCTAGTGCTGGGCAGATCCAGGCCTGGAGAGGGCCCAGTCCCAAGAGGGTGACTGGGCCTTCAGCTGGCAGAACTGTGGGCTTGCTGGGCCCGGACCTGACAGGCTCTGTCACCCTCTCTCCACCCAGGGCTTTGGCCGGAAGGTGTTCTCACCCGTGATCCGTTCCTCCTTTACCCACTGCCGTCCTCCGATGGACCCCGAACCCCCAGGACCCCCAGATCCTCCTGCAGCCTTTGGCAAAGGCTACGGTTCCGCCCCATCTTCCTCCTCACCTGCCGCTGCCTCCGCCTCTGCTGCCTCTTCCTTCCCACTGGGCTCAGGATCCTTCAAGACCCAGGAGTCCGGACAGGGCAGCACTGGTGGCCCTCTCCGGCCGCCACCCGCCGGGCCTGGGGGCCCACCCGCCCCTTCCAAGGCCACCCGCTTCCTCCCAGCTGATACCGCCCCTTTCCGGCGCAAGAGACCTGAGAGTGTGGGGGCCTTGGAACCACCAGGTCCCTCAGTCATTGCGGCACCTCCCGGTGGAGGTGGCAGCATCCTGCAGAGCCTGGTCCTGCCCCCGAGCAAGGAGGAGCGGGAGGGCAGTGGTGCCCGCATGCCCTCAGCTCCAGCCCCATCGCTGGCCTATGGGGCTCCCGCAGCCCCCCTGTCCCGCCCGGCTGCCACCATGGTCACCAATGTGGTGCGGCCCGTCAGCAGCACTCCTGTGCCCATCGCCTCCAAGCCCTTTCCCCCCTCCGGCCGGGCAGAGGCGGCTCCAAGTGACTCGGCAGGTGCTAGGACTGAGACCTCTGGGTCCCGGGCTCCCGGAGGCTCCCCACTGGGCGTCAGCTTGGTGTACTCAGACAAGAAGTCAGCAGCCGCCACCTCACCAGCCCCGCATCTGGTTGCTGGACCCCTGCTGGGCACTGTGGGGAAGGCACCTGCCACTGTCACCAACCTACTGGTGGGCACCCCAGGCTATGGGGCCCCAGCGCCCCCTGCTGTCCAGTTCATTGCCCAGGGAGCTCCTGGCAGTGGGGCCAGTACTGGTTCAGGAGCAGTTGCTGGGAGTGGCCCCAATGGGCCAGTGCCTTTGGGCATTCTGCAGCCAGGTGCTCTGGGCAAGGCTGGGGGCATCACCCAGGTGCAGTACATCCTGCCTACACTGCCCCAGCAGTTGCAGGTGGCTCCCACCCCTGCACCAGCCCCTGGGACCAAGGCAGCAGCTTCTGGTGGCCCCGTGCCCACCACCAGCATCCGTTTCACCCTCCCACCGGGTACCTCCACCAACGGCAAAGTCCTGGCCGCCACCGCACCTACGCCCGGCATCCCCATCCTGCAGTCTGTCCCGTCTGCTCCACCCCCCAAAGGTGAGGATTGGCAGGGTGGGGCCAGGGGCCTCTGGCTTGTGGGTGTCTGTCCTTCACCTGCTCTTCTCCCTGCCCACAGCCCAGTCCCCCGGTGGTTCTGCCCAGCTGCTACCTGGGAAGGTCTTGGTGCCCCTGGCCACTCCCAGCGTGTCAGTGCGGGGCAGCGGGGCCGGCCAGCCCCTGCCCCTGGTGAGCCCACCCTTCTCGGTTCCTGTGCAGAACGGCGCACAGCCCCCCAGCAAGGTGAGGCCCTCTGCAGCGTTGACCTGCACCTGCCTCACTCTGCCTCCTCTGTCTCTGCCTCTCGCCTCCTGCAGCGCTGCCCGGCCTTCTGTCTCCTCGCTCCCCGCCTGTCCTCCTCTTTCCCTTTGTGCCTTTTGTGTCTCCCTGCTAGCCCTGTCTTTGCTGAGACTTGCCTTCCATGTCTGGGGCCTCAGCTCACCCCGCTCCGTGGGGATCCTTGCCACAGATCATCCAACTGACTCCAGTGCCCGTGAGCACCCCCAGCGGCCTGGTGCCGCCCCTCAGCCCAGCCACGCTCCCCGGACCCACCTCGCAGCCCCAGAAAGTCCTGCTGCCTTCCTCCACCAGGTAAGAGCTGTTGGGCTGGCTCCAGAGGCCGGGCTGGGGTCAGCGGGGCCAGCAGGGCTGGCTCACCTCCTTGCCCTATTGCCTCTCGCTGGCTCAGGATCACCTATGTGCAGTCGGCGGGAGGGCACACGCTGCCCCTGGGCACCAGCCCCACATCCAGCCAGCCTGGCACCGTCACCTCGTACGGGCCCACGAGCTCCGTTGCCCTCGGTTTCACCTCTCTGGGGCCCAGTGGCCCTGCCTTCGTGCAGCCCCTGCTTTCAGGTGAGGGGCTGCCTGGCGGGCCAAGCAGCGGGAGGGTGGATGTGGGGTAAGGCCTGGGAGCCCCAGGCTCTGACACCCCCTCCTGTTTTTCACCTTGCAGGCCAAGCCCCGCTGCTGGCACCTGGCCAGGTGGGCGTGTCACCTGTACCCAACCCCCAGCTGCCCCCCACTTGCACGGCCTCCGGGGGTCCTGTCATCACAGCGTTTTACCCTGGCAGTCCTGCTCCCACCTCCTCAGCACCCCTGGCCCAGCCGTCCCAGGCCGCCCCTGGTCTAGTCTACACTGTGGCCACCAGCACCACCCCACCTGCTGCCGCCATCCTGCCCAAGGGCCCGCCGGCCCCTGCCACTGCCACCCCAGCTCCCACCAGCCCTTTCCCAAGTGCCACAGGTGGGTGCCAGACCGTGCGGCGTGGGCAGGTTTGGGGAACACGGGTGGGTTCCGGTCGGGCCAGGCTCACCATGTGGTTTTTCTGCCCACAGCAGGCTCCATGACATACAGCTTAGTGGCCCCCAAAGCCCAGCGACCTGTGCCCAAGGCCCCCCAGAAAGTGAAGGCAGCCATCGCCAGCATTCCTGTGGGCTCCTTCGAGGCAGGTGCCCCTGGGCGGCCTGGCCCAGCAGCCCGGCAACCCCTGGAGCCCGGCCCTGCTCGGGACACCCCAGTCCCCGAAACTGAGCTGGAGGGACAGCCAACGACCCCAGGTCCCCCACACCCCCCAGAGGCCTGGCCACCTGCGACTCGGAGCAGTCCCCCACCTCCCCCAGCTGCTGAAGAGCGGGGTGGCACCAAGGGCACCGAGAGCATGGTGAGTGCCCAGTGCTGGCCGCTTGGCTCCTGGCTCTGCTGCCCCATCCCTGCCCTGCCCTGCCCTACGGGACCTCCTTGGACCCTAGCTGTTCTGAAGGTAGCATCCGTCCTGTCTTCCTGTCCACCCCCAGGCCAGCAAATTCCCCAGCTCATCTGCCGACTGGCGCGTCCCTGGGATGGGCCTCGAGACCCGTGGGGAGCCCCCCACCCCTCCCAGTCCCGCCCCAGCTCCAGCCCTGGCCGCGGGAAGCAGCAGCAGTGGCAGCGGCAACAGTGAGGGCAGCAGCGGGAGGGCAGCTGGGGACACCCCTGAGCGCAAGGAGCCCACGGGTCCTGGCAAGAAGGTGAAGGTGCGGCCCCCGCCCCTGAAGAAGACCTTTGACTCTGTGGACAAGTGAGCATGGGCTGGGGGCAGAACGGAGCAGGGGGCTGGCCAGGAGGGGCAGTGGCCAGCAGAGGGGTGCGGAGGAGGTGACCCTGCCGGCTCTCCAGCAGGGTCTTGTCCGAGGTGGACTTTGAAGAGCGCTTCGCCGAGCTGCCCGAGTTTCGGCCTGAGGAGGTGCTTCCCTCGCCCACCCTCCAGTCTCTGGCCACCTCCCCGCGCGCCATCCTGGGCTCCTACCGCAAGAAGAGGAAGAACTCCACTGGTGGGCACGGGGGCTGGCCGGAGGGCAGTGGGGGCTGGCTGGAAGCTGCCTCCACTCAGCCAGCTTGTGTTTTCCAGACCTGGACTCAGCCCCCGAGGACCCCACTTCACCCAAACGCAAGATCCGGAGACGCTCCAGCTGCAGCTCGGAGCCCAACACCCCCAAGAGCGCCAAGTGCGAAGGGGACATCTTCACCTTCGACCGCACAGGTGCGGGGCAGGGGGCACTCGGGAATAAACCCAGAGTCGCCATATGATCTTTGGTGGATTCCACCTGAACAGTGGTGCCCCCCACCCCACCCCCTCAGGAACAGAAGCCGAGGATGTCCTGGGGGAGCTGGAATACGAGAAGGTGCCCTACTCCTCCCTGCGGCGCACCCTAGACCAGCGCCGCGCCCTGGTCATGCAGCTCTTCCAGGACCACGGCTTCTTCCCCTCTGGTGAGCATGTTTGCAGGTCGGGGGGTGGGGGGGCATTCGGGGAGAGGGCTCATATGGCCCCCCTCTCACTGCCCCACCTATCGTCCCCAGCCCAGGCCACGGCCGCCTTCCAGGCCCGCTACGCAGACATCTTCCCCTCCAAGGTGTGTCTGCAGCTGAAGATCCGCGAGGTGCGCCAGAAGATCATGCAGGCTGCCACGCCCACGGAGCAGCCTCCTGGCGCTGAGGCCTCCCTGCCTGGACCACCCCCCGCGGGTGCCACCGCAGCCCCTGGCCCCACTCCCAGCCCCGCAGGAGGCCCTGACCCCACCTCGCCTGGCTCGGACTCTGGCACAGCCCCGGCCGCCCCACCGCTGCCTCCCCCGCCTGAGCCAGGACCTGGGCAGCCCGGCTGGGAGGGCCCCTCCCAGGCATCCCCGCCACCACCTGGCTCCTCTACAGCTGCCACAGGCAGGTGAGGGGCCCTTGAAGACCCCAGGACCCGCAGCAGCCCCCCTCAGGACACGGACAGTATGAAGGTGGCAGGAGTGGGGGGCAGGACGGTTCCCTCCTCCCGATAAAGCCATTTCGTCCTTCCCTGTTTGGGGCGGAATGAGCCCTGCTCCTCTTCTCTCCCCCGGCTCCCTCTGTGATAGGGAGGGGGGTCCGGGGGGACCCACTGAGAAGCAGGGTGCCGGCTCCCTGTACCGAGCCCCTTACATAACCTGGAGTGTGTGACCTTCAGACCTTTTCACTTGTACTTTATGCAAAATGGCTCGTGTGAGGGCTGCAAGCTGGAGGGCAGTGCAGGCCGTGAGCCACAGGGAGGCACCTGTGGAGGAGGGGGGAGTTCACGTACCCCCTTTTCCCCAGAGGGGCTGGACTCAGGTTAGTTTTGGGGGGTGGGGACTCCTGCACTTTGCCACAGGCATGGGGAGGGCCAACTCCCCACCCCGCCCCTGCCCTTCTGACTTGGGTTGTACTTTCTAAGAAGGTGATTCCCTACCCTTGTCCCGTCCCCCGAACAAGACATGTTGATCATGTGCAATATTTCTTACTGTGCCGAGAAGCCGCAATGACCGAGATTAAAGCTGTTTAACACAACCCGTGTGGCATCCACTCTAGAGGGTGAGGTGAGTGGGGAACAATTCCAGGCCAACCCCTCCCAAGAGGGGACCCTGCGCAGTGGTAGCCACAAACCAGGGCCCCTCACCAGCCTGTCCTTGCCACCTTTCTCAGTAGCCCAACACCCCACATTATCCTTGGCCCTGCTCTGCGCTCATGAATGTCTTCTGGTGGCGCTTGTAAGACACTAGGGGGATTCAGGCCAAGAAGGCCTGAGGTAGGTGCAGCGGGGGAACCCCAGGTTTCAGGAAGACCAAGTCACCTGAGCACCAACATTGCCCATGACTCCTACTGCCGCCATGTGGCAAGAGCCAGCAGTACAATGGAGTCAACCAGTCCGAAGCCCTCAATTGGCCTTTCAGGCATAAAGATGCCTGTGAAGAGATGAAGACAGTGACACTGAACTAAGAATTGAACACCCCAATTTACAGCTATCATGGTCCAATTTGGGTTTGGCCACGTGCAAGGCAAGCGCCTCATACCCCTGGGCTGTTATCTCCAGCTCCCATTCCCAGAATTCTTGACCTCAATCCCTTGGGGTAGTGCTTGCCCAAAGCATTGCAGTGATAGTGATAGAAATCTGCCTGATCCTGCAAAAGGTGAGCTCTGGGCTTAGAGCTGCTGTGCTTGCAGGACACGGACAACAAGCAGCTGCAGCCCCACAGAGACAGGCGCTGAGGTAAGGACCTCCAGAGGGTCACAAAGGAAATGAGACCAAAGATTGAGAATTTAATGGAGTAATGCTTAGGGTGTAGGCCCTGCCAAGGGGGCCCCCTGGTCCTGAGCCAGCAGTCGCAGCAGCAAGGAGTGGAGGGTTCTGCAGACAGGCGTGTAACCCAGGCGGCTCAGATGTAAGTAATCGTACATGTCGTGGTGGCTGATGGTGCCGTCCGAGTGCACGAAGCCAGGGTCAGCATCCAGGAAGTGAGCCCTGGGGTAGCCAGACAGTGCTGCCCGGACCAGCTCGTTTACCCGTTGGTTTTTCTCCCTGAGCGGGTTGGGGTGCTGGCCCCGTGGAAGCAGGCCCTGGGGAAGGGCAAGCGAGAGTTGAGTGAAGGCCCATTCTCCATCTCCACCTCTGTCCCTACCTGCAGGACCCCCACTACAAAATATATCAGGAACAGGAAGGGTGGTTCCCAATGCCATGTCTGAGGTTCCATTCAAGAAGAACCTCCTGGGTATTAGCCTCTATCACAATGATGTCAACACCAAGGCAGGGTTCAATGACCTTGGCCAGGAGGAAGTGATGGGGCCCAGGTTTACCCTGGGAACTTTTGGCGATTAAAGTGTGTTGAGAGGATTTTGCTTTAGGGCCTCAGCCGGTGGTGCTCAGGGAGTGCTCCTCTTGGCTTTAATTGAACCTGGGTTGGCCACATGCAAGGCAAATGCACTACCCATTGTACTATTGCTTCAGTCCCATGTTTTGAGGGATTTTGTTTTGTGTTAGGTGGCCACACCCTGCAGTGCTCAGGGATGACTACTGGCTCTTTGCTTAGGAGTTGTTCCTGGTGATGCTCTTAGGACCATGCGGTACTGGGTACCAAAGTAGGGTCTCCTGCATGCAAAGCATGCTCTGCAGCCCTTTCCGCCTCCTCTCTGGCCCATGGTTTTTGTTTGATTTTGGGCCGCACCTCATGATGCTCAGGAGTTATTCCTGGCTCTGTACTTAGGAATCACCCCTGGTGGGCTTGGGGGACCATACAGGATGTCAGGGACCGAACCAGGATTGGCCGCGTACAAGGCAAACCCCCTCCCACTGTACTCTCCTGGCCCCTGGCCTATGATTTTTTGTTTGGTTTCGGTTGTTGGACTGCACCCAGTGGTGCTCAAGGGCTATGCCTGGCTCTACTTAGGGATCACTCCTGGCAGTACTTGGGGGACTATATGTGGTACTGGGGATGGAACTAGAATCTGCTGTATGCAAGTAAGTCCCTCACCACAATCTCCACATTCCATCCCAACCCCCCCCCCTTCCCGTGCTTTGTTAAACATCCGCAGAATCTTTAGCAGTTCCTTGGGCTAACTTGGACCAGTCCTGAACCATAGCTACTTGGATGGGTACAATAAACTCAGTTCCAAGTTGTGCAATATGGCTACCCTGGAAGCAACACCTGCCAGAGTCCATTTTTCCTGCCCTCCATCCCCGCCTCACCAGCACCACGACTCGGGCCTGGGGCTGCCGCTGGTTCACCAGGTGCACGATGGCTTTGATGCCGCCAGTCACCTGCTCTGCCGTGTGTCCATGGTTGTTGGTGCCCACCCAGACTACCACAATCTGCAGAGAGAGGCAGGGGTCAGAGCACAGGCTAAAGGGCCTGTTCTCCACCCCCGACCCCAAGCCCTGTTCACCTTGGGCCGGATGTGTTCCAGCTCTCCATTCTCCAGTCGCCACAGCACATGCTGTGTGCTGTCACCGCCAATGCCAAAGTTCAGTGCGTGCAGAGGAGAGAAGAGCTCCCGCCAGATCTGTGGGCAAGAAGTGGCATGGGAACAGGGACATGACCGGCATGGACCAAATGTCACTCAGGAAGAGCCCAGTTTCCAAAAAACTGGGGAGGTTTCACCTCCAACAAATAGCAATATAATTGAGTCTCACTGTCTCGAAAACCCACAGAAGCAAGACTCCCCTTGTGGAAACCCATTCTGTGTGGGCCCGACCGGGTAAAACCTCTTTGAAGGGTGCTGGCATGGAATCACCTTTTTCTTTCTTTTTAGGCCACACCTGGTGATGCTCAGAGATCACTCCTGGTGATGCTTGGAGTAACTTGGTGCTTGGGGAACCCTCGGTGCTTGGGGGTGCTGTGGGATGCTAGGGACCGAACCCGGGTCAGCCACTTGGATGTGCAAGGCAAACGTCCTTCAAGCTGTACTCTCACTCCAACCCCCAGGATAACCCCTCTTTAGTGGAAAAGTCCTACAGGCCTTGGTGGAAAGAATAGCTGACGTTAGCTGGAACCGCTACAGCAGCTTGGTAGAAATTCCTCGGGGCTTGCTTTAAGTACACAATACTGAGCCTCACCTTAGGAAAACTAGCAGGAAAGCCTCTTTTTAGTCTCACTATACAAAACCCTAATCTGATGAATCAGAGCACACACATTTCCTTCCAGTCCTTTACCCTGAAAGTCTGGGGCTTTTTGAGGTTATTTCCGGCTCCCCAGGGCTTGTCTGCCTCAGCTCTGTCCAGTGGTCAGTGGAAGCCCTGTCCTGCCTGGGTGGGGCCGGGAGAGGCCTGACCTCACCTCGCACTGATGCATTAGCTGGACCAAGGAATCCCCGATGAAGACGACTTCAGGTTCCTTATCTTTGCTGTCGGCCACGAAGCGATGGTGCTTGGGAGACGTGGAGAAGAGGGCGTCAGGGGCCACGCGCGCTCCAGGGCCCGCCCGCCCCGTGTCCTGGGCCAGCACCACCACCCCAATGGCCCTCAGTTGCTGGTCCCCGAGAGCGGCGCAAACCAGCGGCTCTACGGAGCCCCTGAGCCCCAACCCCCAGGTTCCCGGGCTCCGCGGGCGGGGTCGCTCACCAGGGACATCCAGCGCCCATCGCCTTGCACGTCCTGCACCGGCGTGGGCTTGCTGGCCGGGTTCTCGTCCCCGCTCATCTCGGCGGCGCCGCTCCTGCAAGGCTGAGCGAGCAATTCAGCCGCGACAGTCCCCCAAGGGGAGGCTCCGCCACGCCCGCCCCTCCCCCTCCCGGCAACAATGGACCGTCCCGGCGCCCGCACTCCAGCCCGGGCCGCGCGCCGATGCGGGAGCCGACCGCACCCCCACCCAACCCTTCCCTTAGGAGGGGAGGTGGAACGGGCAACCTTGGCTTTCCCCACGCTAACCGCGCTGTGGCCTCGTCCGGCGCGTCTTCCCGGGCCACTCACTCGGGGGGCGGCGGCGGCGAACGCACCCGGGGCCCTGGGGTGCGGGGAGGCGAGACCAACCGCACCCGTGCGGGGGGGTGGGGAGCGGGAGCGGAACCGCCCACCGGCGTCACGGGGCGGGGAGCGCTACCTGCGCGGCGGGCAGTGGGCAGGGCCGGCCGCGCGCTCTTCCTGGGGGAAGAAACCATTGGCCGCGGGGCGCCCCACACCACGGGGCGTCCCATTCACGTGGCGGGGGAGCGGGGAGAGTGGACGAGTCCATTTCGGGATCCCGGAGGGGGTGACTCGTACACACCTGGTTGGAAGGGGACGTCCCCACCTTCTCCCGCGTGGCGGGGAGGAGAAAAAGAGGGGGGCTAGGTCGGGCACAGCGGGCAGGCGGGGCCCCCCCGACGCCCCCCGGATTGTCGCGAGCCCATGTGCACGCGGGCCTCGCCAGTAAGGAATACTACACAATGGAAACAGCCTAGCTTTGCCTTTCAAACCTCCAGGGCCCTGCCGGCGAGGAGGTCGGGAAATGCAGAAAGAGAAAGGAAATTAGAGACGCTGCGAAGTGAGGTGCAGGTCCAGCCTGGCTCCCCTCCAGGGCAGCTCATCTTGCAGCTTTGTGGCCTCTGCTCCCCTCCCTGAGGCGTCTGCGGTGGCTACCTGCAACTTCAGTTGGGCGTGTCTGGACCCTGAAATCCAGACCCACAGCCAAGGCTTTTTAAGGTCGCCTCTCCCCGACACAAATTAATTTCTGACTTCATGCCTTCCCAGATATCCCTGTTCCTGAGGGACAGGTCCCACCTCCACAGCCACCGAAGGCCTGCTCTATTCCTAGACCTTCGTTCCAGATAGGACTATCCATTCCTTCTAGGAAGGTTGATACTGAGATGCAGGTATCTAATGTTTTCCGGAAGTTTGGGTTACACCTACTGGCTTTTACAAAAGACCGACAATGGTGTCTTGTTTTTTTCTAAACCAGAAGAAATCTAGAAGGGCCAAAGAGAAGCGAGTTGAGTAGACCAAGTGCATGCTTTGCGTGCAGGAAACCCCCATCCCAGTTCAGGCCCCCCGCACAGAATGGTCTCTGGAGTGGACCCCAGAGCACAGAGCTGGAAATAGTGCTGCGCCTCATTAGGAGTAGCTCTCCTCTCCCCCAGAAGAAAGGAGGGATGGGGTGGAAGGAAACTCAAAGAGGAAAAGAAAGCAAAAATAGCATTTGGGTTTTGTTTTTGAAAGAGCTTTTACAAAGGCAGTCTGCACTCTGAGCTGCAGAAGAGTGGCACTGCCAAGTTCCTGCCCAGGGAATGGCTTTACACAGGCTGTGCATTTAGCATAGCATGTCTGCTTTTACCTTATGCTAGTGTTATTTTAGGTTTTATGTGTTATTTGGCATGATTTAGTAGGTTATTTTTTGGGGGTCTGGGCACACTCAAAATCTTTCCAGGAGCCCAGGAGATAACACAAGTGGTGGAGCACATGCCTTGCATATGTTAGGTTGAGTCTGATCCTGGTACCAAATGCCACCACCACCCCCCGCCCCCACCACTGCCAACTGTGACCCCCTATAAAAAAATGTTTTTGCCCTTCTGAGTTAGTGGTAATTGTTTCTTTGCTTTACACCGCTTCGGCTTATGAAAGGTTTCGCTGGAATTCTATTTTCAGATAGTGGGGAACCTGTAGAGCCAAGAGTCTTTTTTATGTTTAAGTTCTGCCTCAAGCTGTTTGTCTGGAACAGGGTCTGCCTCACAGAATCAAGTACTCTGGCAGCTCATAAATACTTGCTGAACAAATGTGAAATGGATGGGTCAGACTCTGGCCTTGTCTCAGAGTGTTGGGGTACACTGATACAGAGAGCTGGTGGTGGGGGTCAAGGTTGTGATTAGAGGAGCCAGAGAGATAGTACAGCAGGTACAGTGTTTGCTTTGCCTGTGCCTGACCTGGGTTTGATCACTGGCACCCCACATGGCTCCCTAAGCCTGCCAGGAGTGATCTGTGAACACAGAGCCAAGAGCAAACCCTGAGCACTGCTGGGTATGCACCCTCCCCCAAAAAAGAAAAAGAGATAGAAATGAAGGAGGGAAGGACAGAAGAAATTTCAGGAACTTTAAGGGCTGGGGATGTAGCTGGGGTGGGGAGTAGAACTCTTGAGGGGTTTTCTAGATGGAGTAGCTGAGCTAGACTTGAAAGGATCATAAGGATTGGGCTCGATCGTCGATTTGCTCGAGCGGGCCCAGTAACGTCTCCTTTGGAGACTTTGTTGTTACTGTGTCTGGCATATCGAATACTCTCGGTAGCTTGCTGGGCTCTCCGAGAGGGGCGGAGGAATCGAACTCGGGTCGGCCATGTTGGCTGCGTGCAAGGCAGACACCCTACCCGCTGTGCTATCGCTCCAGCCCAAGGATTGGGCATGAACTATTATATAGACAATATAGCTTTTTAGGACATAGGAAATATCCTTTTAGAGCTTGATTCTAAAGTCTGAAGGATTGCTGGGAATGCAGTTCAGTGGTCCAGGACAAAAATATCAGACTCTGTCTCTGGGGACTAAAGAGGTGTGTAGGACGCTTTCCTTGCAGACCGCTGATCTGGACTCGATCCCTGACACCCCAGATGGTCTCTGAAGAACTGCCAGGAGTGATCTCTGAACGCAGAGCCAGAAGAAAGTCCTGAGCGCCGCCAGATGTGGCAAAAAAGAATGAAAACAAAACACCCAGACTCTGGTTCTGGGTTTCAATACCCTGCATATATACAGACATACACAAAGGTAGAGAAGCAATTCCTGAAGCATTACTTGGTGAAAAAGCTTGGAGCTATTCTCTCACCAGATGCTGTTTCAAGTTAGATGCACCGGCTCAGACAGTAAGTGTGTGAAGAAGGTAGTACCGTTATCGTGTGTCTGTGTATTTAGGCCACACTCAGCACGTCAGCCACGTGCAAGACAAGCACCTTCCTCAATACACTCTTTCCCGCCAGCCAACCAAATCCTTTTTACCGCTAAGAAATTGACACCTTGAACAGTAACCCCGTTTTGCAAGATCACACAGTTCAAAAGTATCATTTGCTCCAGAGCCTAGCACTCAGAATGACACTGGACAAATTCTCCAGAGAGGGCGTCTCTGACTGCCTAGGGACCTGGACTGAAGACGCCTCTCTCAGGCGCCTCGCCTCATCTGAGGGCGAGACAAAGTGCGCCCAAAGCGACCTAATCCAATGGGCTGTCGGGAAGGAGGTGGGCCTTAGAGAACTAGCCAGTCAATTGGTGGCCGGGAAGAGCCTACGGACGAATGAGAGAGGTTCCTGAAAGCACGTCGTTAGGGGGCGGGGCTATAACCGGCGCCGCGAGCCTCGTGCCTCCAGGAAGGGAGAGGCCAGCGCGCATGGCAGCGCCAGGCACATGCGCGGTGCCGCGGGTGTGGCCTTGCGAAGCCCAGAAGTACCTTTTGGCGCGTCGTGAGCCGGGGTCACCGCAGAGAAGCCCCTGCACCCCATAGCCACGTGTTGAGACGGGGTTCATTGGGACCGGAGAAGGTGAGGTGCCTTCCCCCCGCCCTGCCCCCACCAACCATATCCGCCCGATTTCAACCATACCTCAACCGCGCCCTCTCCTGCCGTCCCCTCGGCCCCTCCCCCATAACCAGGCCTCACACGCTCCTCAGGCATTCCCCATCACTCTTCCGGCCTTCCTTGCTCTCCCCTGACTCTGTTTTCTGCGTGCTCTCACCCATACCTGCTCTGCCTCTGTGCAAAATGCTCATCTGTTTCTCTGGATCAGCTCCGCGATTGTGATTCCTTCCCTGCCCTTCCCAACGCCTCACCACCACCACCACAACCATCAAGATTTTAACTATTACTGAAGTGCCTTTTTCCTGGAACCCATTATCCTCTGGCATATCTCCCCATTCACCATGACTCCCGTGGACTCTCTGCACACTCCTATTTCTCTTGACTTGTGCCTCACCTCACCTGGAACCATCTGTTCACTTTTAGGGACTCACATTTCTCTGCATGCCAATTACCCTATGATCTGTATCTTCCAGGACCCCATGGACCCGCGGGGACCAGCCCCCCAGCCCCTCCAGCGACCTGAGAAGCCTGGTCGTGTTCGCCGTCGGAAGACCCGGCGAGAGCGGAATGAGGCCCTAGTGGGGAGTCGTCGATCAGTGGCCCGTCAGGATCCTCCTGGGACTAGTCAGGATCTGCCTAGGGCCCTCTGGGACCCAGGGGCCTCTGCTGCCTCCAGGCTCGTAGTCATCACCCAGGGCCGGCTGAGTCGGGAGCACCGGGGTCTCTTTAACCATGAGGTGAAATCCCTGGACGTGGCCCGGCTGCTTAGCAGTGGCTCCCTGGAACCAGGCACCCCCACACTCCCCAGCAAACCCTCTCCAAGCCCAGACAGGGCTCAGGAAACAACCCCATTGTCACGGGGCAAGGAGAATCAGGCACCTGGGGGCTCAGGCCCAGGCCCGCCCAGTTCCCCAAATCTCCCAGGTGTGGGACAGCTACTGGAGGAGTTGCGGTGTCAGTTGAATCTGCCTCCAGCCTTTCCCCGGCGAAACGTGGTGCAGGAGGCCAGGGATATCATTGTGGGCACATTGCAAGCATGCCATGGAAGTCTGCCTGACCTGACCCTGGTACTTCGGAGCGGCCAGCCACCCTCGCCAGGTAAGCATCCTCCTGCTTCCTTGTTCCAGCTTCCTGGGTGCTTTACCCCAGCTATCTCCTAGGTGTCTTTTCTCTGTGTCAGGGACCAAGCCGGGGGCCATGGAGAGCCGAAGGATGACACCCTCCTGGATCAACAGCCCGGAGCACCCCACAGCGGAGGAGGGGAGGCACCCGAGGAGACAGGGGACAAAGAAACTTACCTTTGCCATGCCTCACACCTCCAGCACTCCCCCTGCACAGAGGGTGTCCCTGGCACCGCCCAAAGGTCCCTGGTCACAGCCCTTGACCTCCTTGCCTTCACCATCGGGAGCAGCCTGGGGTCCCCCAACAGCATTTGATCTGCTGAAAAGCATCTGGCTTGTCACCTCACCACCTGCTCCTCGCCCATGGGGAATCGGTCCACAGTCCTTGCCTCAGCCATCATCACCGTTGTTGCCCCGCACCTCTGCTCTGGACTGGAGCCCTAGCCCTCCGGCCCGGCTGCCCAGCCTCTCCTGGGTGGTGTCCCAGAGCAGCCCAGAGGCCTGGTCCTTTCCACCCATGAGACTCTACTGAGGGGCCGAGGCTGGGCTAGAGGCAGGGATCTCATGTTCTCATCACCTCAATAAAGTACCTTTTTCATGGTCTTCTTGACTCAGTACGTGGCCAGCAGGGCCAGAATAGCTTTAGCAGGCAGAGAGATAGGACAGTGGCTAGGCTGCTTTCCTTGCACATGGCTGACCTGGGTTTAATACCCCAGTACCCCATATGGTCCCCTGAGCCTGCCAGGAGTGATCCCTGAGTGCAGAGCCAGGAATAAACCTTAAGCTTTGCCAGGTGTGACCTAAAAATCAAAAGAAACCCAGAACAGCTTTCGCTCGGCCCAAGATGGGGCCAGCAGGCTGCAGAAACCTTGGATTTCCAAGAACAGATACACTGAATCTACCCACCCTGAGCTCGCCTGTTGCCTGGGGTAGGGGCAGAGGTGTGTGTGTGTGGGTGAGTAGCATTGGACTGAGGCTTCATCCCCAGGAGACACCTGGTGCTGGGCCAACACAGGCAGTCCCAGATGCAGAAGTTGTAGTGAGGAGAGAGTTGCAGGGCTCAGGGAGGCTGAGGAGAGTGTGGGGGCTGCATTAACCAGGAGCTGCCAGATACTTGCCAGGAGTGGAAAGGAACATTTGGGCCATGCTAGGAAGGACTGTTCCGTGGGACAGCATGGGCCAGGCCTGAAAAGGATAAGTAGGTGGGGTATTTGGCCCATACTCCTAGGCTCTACTTTTATCTAGAGTGAAGTCTTTGTCTGGGGGCCTCCTGATCTGGAGGGTGCTTGGGCAAAGTGTATGTAGGAACACAAGAGGGAGAGCAGATCAGGCTGAAATCTGGCACTGAGGCTTTTTTTTTCTTTGGCCTACTAGATAGTTGAAATGTTTGAATCAATTGCCTACTGTTACAGATTACTTTGCCTTCTTTTTTTTTTTTAAATGCTTTTCTGGCATCTCTTTTTTTTTTTAAAAAAAAAGTGGGAGATCTGGCAGCCGACCTACTATCGCTCCTGGCAACAATGGCTCGTGCCCAGTAGCAGCCCCCTTTGCATGCATGAGCCTATGCGTTGCTGAAAGTGTTTCAACCACTTATCTTTCCTGCTGGGTCCTTTGGCTTAGAGAGGTTTTTTTTAAAAAATCTATTTTGAGGCCTAGGAGATAGTTCAAATGACTGGAGCCCATACTTGGCTTGGAGGAGCCCTGGTCCCCCAGCCCCACAGGGATAACTCCTGAGGCAATGAGTGAGGAGTAGGCTCTGAGTACCACAGGATGTGGCCTCAAAAGTTATTAAAAAGGGGCCGGAGTGATAGTACAGCGGGAAGGGCGTTTGCCTTACACGCGGCTGACCCAGGTTTGATTCCTAGCATCCCATATGGTCCCCCGGGCAGGGGTAATTCCTGAGTGCATGAGCAAGGAGTAATCCCTGTGCATCACCAGGTGTGACCCAAAAAGAAAAGAAAAAAGTAATTAAAAAAGCTATTCTGAAAGGTCAGGGAGATAACGCAAAGGGCTGAAGGTGGGCTTTGTGCATGGGAGCCCAGGGCTTGGTCCCTGGAATGCCACTGGTACCAACGCCTAAGCACCTAGCACTGAAAAAAAAGGGGGGGGGAATCTGTTTTGAGGAGTACTAAGTACTCTGCAGCAGATGGGAAAGAATAATGAAGGTAGAAATGCTTGTTGGAATCAGAGAGGGAGAGAGCTCAAAAAGGTGGGATGTATGCTTTGCACCATAGGTCCTGCCTGGCATCACATGACCTAGAACACCACCGAGCACTTCAGGGTAAAGCTTTGGTTGCTCCTAGCAGTACGTGGAATGGCTGGGCACCAGATGGACCGGACTAGGTCAAGTTTAGGGCTCGAGAGGACAGAGGGTAGGACATTGGCTTGTCCACAGCCATCCCAGGTTTGATCCCCAGCACCACGTATGATCCCCAGAACATTGCCAGGAGTGATCCCTGAGTATGGAGCCAGGAGTGAGGACTGAGCACAGCTAGGTGTGGCCCCCAAACTAAACCAAAACAAAAGGAAGTAGGGGTAAGCGTTTCCCATTGCCTGAATGGGAAAACCGTAAGGTTTGTACCACCGTGGCTGGAGTCTGGGTGGTGGGAGGCAGGCAGCCTTGGAGGGGTCTTACTGGGAGTGGCCGTGGGGTATTCTGAACCCAGACAGAGGGCCCAGGATCTGGCGAGGTATGAGGTGAGAGTGGGGCACGGACAGAGAGCAGTGCGAGGACTCTGTTGCGAGCGTCAGACCCGAGAGGGGCCGCGGGTCCGAGAGTTGTGGGCTGCCGGGCCGTCTCGAGGCCCGCCTTGGAGGAGTTCAGTTTAGGACACGGGGAGCCGGAGGTATCGGTGAGACTCCCAGAGGGGAGGATTGGGGCGGGGCGGCGAGGACCGGAGCCGGGCATCCCCGCCCGCGGGGCTGGGAAGGGGCCAGGTGGGGGCCTTCCCTGCGGAGGGGGCGGGGTGCGCGGCGCCCGGCGGCCCCTTTAATCGGGGGCGCGCGCCGGCTGGCCCGCGCGCTCTCGCCGCCGTCGCCGGGCCGGAGCGGGAGCCCGAGCGCAGCCGGGGCCGGAGCGGGCCCAATGGAGCCCCCGCGCGCGCCCGCTCTGCGCCGCCTGCTGCCGCCTTTGCTGCTCCTGCTGCTGCCACTGCCCCCCAGCGCCCGGGCCAAGTACGTGCGCGGCAACCTCAGCTCCAAGGAGGTGAGCGCGCCGGGCCCTCCGCAGCCGCCCGTCGAGCCCCCGCGGGACGAGGGCGAGCGGGGGGGTGGGGGGTGCCGCCCCGCCCCCTGGCGCCCCTCCCCCGCCGGACCCCAGGAGCCCCGAGGGATGGGGCTGGGGGCGAGGGGCTCTGGGTGGGGGTTGTGGTGAGGGGGGCGGTGGGGTGCGGGAGAGCCGGGGGTGGGGTGGGGGGGACGTTGAGGTCAGAGGGGCGGAGGGGGGCCGGCAGAGAGAATGGAGTTGCGGTGGGGGTGGGGACGCCGACGTGGTGCTGAAGGGACAGCACCTCTGCAGCAAGCCCGAGTTCCCAGCACCGAGGGGGGCCTGAATGGGAATCTTCCCCCCACCCCCCAGGGCCTTGTCAGGACCCCTGGGCAGTCAAGGAAGGACGGGGACCGGGGAGTCTGGGGAGGGGCTCCCTGTCAGGATTCATGGCCCCAAGGTGAAGGGATGGGGAAGGTGACTAGGGCCACCTGAGCTTCTTGGGAAACCGTGTGCCCCAGGGCGAGGACGAAAAGTTGGGGGGGCCCTGGCGTGGGGAGCTTCCTCCAAGGAAAGACTTAGACGCAGGGGCCCTGGGCCACTTCCAGGACTGGGTGTTCCTGACAAGGTTCTGCTTCCTCTCCGACTATGGCCGGCTGGACTTCCGCTTCCAGTACCCTGAGGTGAGCTCCCCTACCTGAGGCTGCGGCTGGCAGCCCTCCCCAGTGCCCAGCACTCCCCCAAATCCCACAATCTCTGGGCCTGCAGGCCAAGTGTTGCCAGAACATTCTCCTGTATTTCGATGACCCATCCCAGTGGCCTGCTGTGTACAAGGCGGGGGACAAGGTAAGGGTGGTGAGGAAGGCGGGTGGTGGGCAGGCCGAGGGACAGGATGACATGTGTGCCATGGCCTGCCCTCCCCAGGACTGCCTGGCCAAGGAGTCCGTCATCAGGCCCGAAAACAACCAGGTCATCAACCTCACCACCCAGTACGCATGGTCCGGCTGTCAGGTATGGGGTGTGTATGTGTGTGTGTGGGGAGGGTGTAGGCAGCACAGAAGGGTGCAGGCCGGGCCCTGTAGGGGTACATAGGCTCAGCTTTCTCGCTTCCCTCCAGGTGGTGTCAAAGGAGGGAACCCGCTACCTGAGCTGCTCCAGTGGCCGCAGCTTCCGCTCTGTGCGGGAGCGGTGGTGGTACATCGCACTCAGCAAGTGTGGGGTAAGGAGCTGGGCCTGTTCTGCCCAGCTTTCCCCACTCCCTACCTGCCCGCCCCCCCTCCTGAGGTCTCCGCACTGCCCACAGGGTGATGGACTGCAGCTGGAGTATGAGATGGTGCTCACCAACGGCAAATCCTTCTGGACGCGGCACTTCTCGGCTGATGAGTTTGGTGAGTCTGCAGGAGCCAGGGGCAGGGCTTTTGTGGGTGCTGAGAGCCACGGGCCTGCTGAGGGGCACTCAGCCTGAATTCACTGTTGTGCCCCCCCATCTTTCCCCAAATTGGCAGGAATCCTGGAGACTGATGTAACTTTCCTTCTCATCTTCATCCTCATCTTCATCCTCTCCTGCTACTTTGGATGTGAGTCCAGCACCTGGTCGGGTAGGGGATGGCAGGGGTGGGAGGTGGGGCGCGGGGAGCTGCTTTTCCTGGTCCCTGGCTATCCATCCTGCTTCCCTTCTAGATTTGCTCAAAGGCCGGCAGCTGCTTCATACCACTTATAAAATGTTCATGGCCGCGGCTGGAGTGGAAGGTGAGGAGAGGGGCTCAGTTTATTCTCATAGGATACCAGAGACCTTCTGGGTCTGTGGAAAGAGGCTGGGGCTGGACTCCTGGGTCTGAGGGAGGAGGCTGGATGGAATTGGACCCCAGAACCCTGAAGAAGCAGGGCGGGGAGAAGAAGGGTATAGATCCTGACAGCGAGAGGAGGGGGCTGGCTGCTGGATCTTAGTTGAAGAACAGAGATAACCCAAAGCTGAGTTCTTCCCTCTCCACCTTACCCTCAGTTCTGAGCCTCCTATTTTTCTGCATCTACTGGGGGCAGTATGCCACCGACGGCATTGGCAACAAGAGCCTGCAGATCCTGGGTGAGAAGGGGCACAAGGTGGGTGTGGGGGACACTGAGCGGGGGGGGGGGGGCGCCGAGCTGGTCTGAGCGGTATCTCCCCACCCTGCAGCCAAGCTGCTCTTCTCCTCCAGCTTCCTCATCTTCCTGCTGATGCTCATCCTTCTGGGGAAGGGATTCACGGTGACACGGTGCCCGGGCTGGGCTGGGAGGGGGGCTGAGGGCGGGTTTGTGGTGGCTTCCCTCCCCCCTGATGGCCCCCAACC